TTATGAAACTTACCAATTCCTTATTTAGAAGAAATTAACAGATAGAAGTCTTGACAAATTTTTAGAGCAGGAAAAAAACAAAAAAAAAAAACAAAACAAAAAAACAACATGCTATGGTTTTAAATGAAATGTAACAGATTTTGGCACATCCAGGTTAAGGTAGATTTCTCCCTGACTATATAAACTAAAACAAGTTCTTATGTGCAGTGAAAAAAAGAAGACATTCATATCTGGGAATGGAATAGGTATGATCATCAAATGTACTCACACACACACACACATATATATATATATATATATATATATATATATATATGTGTGTGATTTTCTAAGCCCGGCTTAGATGTGGCACAAGGCTGAAAGAACTCACTACTCAGTCGTAATTGATCTAGCAAGACAAGCTTTCTAATCATTACACCACGCCGAGGTGCCCTATATATATATATATATATATATATATATATATATATATATATATACACACACACACAAAAAAGAACATTGTGCCATTTATTGATTTCATTTAGATATTATTCATAAAAGATGGAGATCTTAGTTAAAAAAAAAAAAAAAACAAAAAAAAAAAAAAAAAAAAAAAAAAAAAAAAAAAAAAAAAAAAAAAAAAACAAAGAAAACCTTGGTTAAACATTTTAAAACTTGTGATGCCTTCTGCACCAAGTTTGGAAACTATAATTTTGTACGGCTGAAGGATTTGATAATTTATTAGACATTTCACATACCTTGAGCAATTTGGTCGTTAAGCTATCATCAAAGGATGAATATAAATAAAAAGGTAAATTTATTAAAAGTAGAAAAGTGCTTGATTTGAAAGTAGAGACAATTCTGTCTTTATATTGATGACTTCCACAAAACCTTCAATATGCCAAAAAGCTGAACCATATGGTATATATATTCAGCCAGCAAGTTGTTTAGACTGAACACCTTAATTCTTTCATCAATTTTAACTGTATTCAGTCCCTCACCATATGTGCCAAAACAAAGATTACTTTTTCTATTACAAAAAATCAGCTGAGCCCTTATTCCACCAGAGCATTTGTAAGGTAAAATCAAAAAGAAAGATAACAATTACAGCAGAATGTGTGAACAGTATGAAAGAATACAAGACACAATGATGTCCATTAATCAGGACGAGGTGGGTACAAATACCTATTACTATGATTCATAATAGAGAAGTGGAAAGTTAAAACCTCAAGATGAAGAGCATAAATGAAAAATCTTGTCAATGTAAGCAAGGCATTAGGGGGGGATTTCTAATTCATACAATTTTGAGGCTGTAATCAAAACTTGATTCATGCAAACTTTTTTGTATTCATAATTTGAGGCAAAAATTATTGAAGTATGTTTAAGGTGTTTTGGGAAAGCAAAAAGCTCACAACTAGAAACAAGTTTATCTCCAAATAAATCTACAAGCTTCAGGAAAGTTCTAGAATTCAAAGACACCAAAAACGCGGATTTTTAAAGATACTCTGAAAACCTAATCTTCATTCATGTTGGTCAAATGCATAAACAATTTTGTCATAAAAATAAATAGTTCTACAAATCGTAAATGGTAAAGAAAAAGATTTTGAAGTTGACCATTTTCAGAATTTCTTTACACATTGAATTTTTGTTCCTTTTCATTGATGTTTTTAGCTTTATCAAAGGAACTTAATAGTAATGATAAGCTGAACAATAACAATAATAATACTAAAAAAAAAAGTATTAAGTTCATATTAAGTAAAAATGACCAGAAGACTGTCTTAAAGACTGACTGCAGTCAAATTGAATTTACCTACAGAGAGTTACTTAATTTCTTAAAGATAGAATTAAAAAACAAACAACACACACAACCCCCAAAAAACGAAATATGTCGAAAATTGTCTAATCATCAGTCAAATTGGAATTACAGAAAAAAAGTAATGTTAACAAATCGGAGATTTGATTGATTAAATCAATTAAAAAAAAAAGAAAAGAAAAAAAAAAGGTAATGTTACTACTAATCTATCATTTCACTCAGATTCCATTACTTTGAATTAAAAGAAAAAAAAAAAGAAAAACTAAAACCTAAAGTAAAAGACTTAAAGAAAGAAAGTTATCTTGACCGAAATTGCTCATTTGAAGAGAAGATTATGAGAAGAGGATAGTTAATTAATTTTCAATTTTCATCAAGAGAAAAATCATTTTGAATTTTCTTTTATTAGAGAGAGAGAGAGAGAGAGAGAGAGAGAGAGAGAGAGAGAGAGAGAGAGAGAGAGAGAGAGAGAGACTAATATTGATTCAGCAGAAGTCAGACTAAAGATAATTTGAGGACATTTTTTTTATATATAGAAAAATGCTAAGTTAATGAAATAAACGACTTTGAGGATAAAACGGGGGGATTTGCTTTTTTGATAAAAAAAAAAAAAAAAAAAAAAAAAAAAAAAAAAAAAAAAAAAACAAAACAAAAAAAAACAAACAAACCCGGAAATACTTTTAATTACTATTTAAAAAAAATACTTATGAATATTGATTGATCTTAATTTAAAATTGTGAAACGTTTCTCTGGATGTGAAAATGATAAATCAACTAAAAAAAAAATGAATATCAGTTGATTGGTATTAAAAAGAAATTCTAGGTTTTACAATCTTTTTAGTACTAATACACCTTGTTGTTACACATCCCAAAAGAAAATAAAAACAATTTCTGATTGCTTCAATTGAATGGAAAAAAGTTTGTGAATCGTTAAAAAAAACAAAAAAACTCGGATAATGTGTGAAATTAGAAAATTTTTTACAGACATTATTATCCGACTGACAACAACAAAATGATTGATTTTTAACTCATCAGTGAAGAGGAAAGACTAGGAAATATTTTAATTTGCTAACTTTTTTTTTTTTTTTTTTTTAATGCCGAGTTCGTTTCATTTGTAAAGGGGTGGGTGGTAGGAGTAATAAACAATTGGTATTCGGAGGAGGGGAGGGGAGAGAGAAAGAGATTTAATTCTATCGGGGTGGCTCATATCAAAATGTAGCCACCCTCATCAATAATGTGAATGTTGTAGTTTTGTTGATACAATTTTTGGAGGTCATAACTGAAAAAGGTAGAGAGAAAAAAAAAAAACCAACTTTTCTAATGTCAATTGTACTTTTCTTGTTTCTCTCAAGTCACGTGGCGACATTTGAAATCAACACCGCCCACCCCAAATGGGGTGGGGGGGCGGTATGAACAGCAGCATTTTAAAATTAATTTGGACTTATAAATGCACAACGTGGTTTTCTTTTTATAAATTAAAAAGTTAAGGTCATTTCTCCTTGTCTTGCCTTAAACACTCTTCTTCTTAGTCTTCTTTTTCAAACAATTCCAGAGTCAAAGTGAACCAGTAAAATAATTTTGATTAATTAGCAAAAGTAAAACACAAAAACAAAAAAACCTGAAAATAATAAACCCGAATGACCTCGACCATCAGTCAGTTTTTTTTAATAAGCAAACCTTTTTAGATTTTTCCTTTTTATTTGCTCTTTTCTTTTAAAAAGAAAAAGAGAAAACCTTTTTTTAAAACGTTAAAATTTTAAAATATTTTCCATCAGCGTCAAATTTAAATGAATTGGTTTTTCTCGACATGTTCAACAATATAAGTAAAAAAAACAAATCAAAAGATTTCAAAACTGAATTCAAAAGATCCTTACGAAGTGTGTGTGTGTGTGTGGGGGGGGGGTGCTGAAAAGTTTTCAGCCCGGCCCACATCTCAAAATCTGACCAACCAATCCTATAGTTTTAGGTGGGGCGGAGAGAGAGGGTGAAATTACTTTTTGGTGCGATTGGAAACTTTTCAGCACCCCCCACCATTTTTTTGCATGATAAAACAAACAAACAAAAAACAACACCACTAAAAACAGTTTTTAATAAATGGAATTCAATGGAAGGGAGAGAAATTCGATTTTTTTTTAATTATATAATTTTGTTTTAACGGTTCTCGTGGAAGGAATGAAGTGGACAATAATAAGAAGACTAAAAGTTGAATTTATAATAAATCTTTTCCTCTCGAAATAAAAAAAAAAAATATCGACTGGGGGCAAGTATGATAAAATAATAAAAAGAAAAGAATTGGAGTTAGAAATTATTTTTTTTCTATTTAAATTATTTCTTTTGTTAGTTAAATTATATTTGTTTTTTTACTGTTTTTTTTAAAATCGAAATCTTCGATTTTTTCTTAATCTCCGAGTCACCCAATAATCCTGAGGTAAAAAAAAAAAAAAAAAAAAAAAATTTTTTTTACCTGCTGAAGAATGTCAAGGGTTTGTCGCGACTCCATGGTTAGAATTAAAAGATATAAGACAACAATTTTTAAACAATAAAGAATAGTTTAAAAAAAAGAAAAAAGATTACATTTCTTCTTGAGTCTTTCTGGCCAAAATAAAGAAAATATCGATTCCAGGTTCGAATCTAACCGGCGTTCAATTCAATTGATTAATGGATGGATCGATTTCTTTTTTTTTTTTTTTGAGAATCGGAAATTAATATAAATTTTCAAAAATGTTCAAGAATCTACAAAGAACCAACATTTTTGCTCAAGTCAACATTCGGAAATCAAGCGTTTCTTTTAAGGAATTATTCGACTCTGTTTTTTTTAACGGTTTACTAAATCCTTCTTTATTCACGCGCTTTTAAAATGTATGATTGATTCTTGAGAGAAACAATGACTGAAATAAAGATTAGAAAATAATTAATTAAATATTTCATTAAAAAAAGAAAGAAAAGATAGATAAAAAGGATTTCTGAATTAATAAAATTAACAGGTTATAATCAAGAGAAGAGGGGACCTTAAAAGGTCGGAAAGGTCATAGGTTAGACGAGTTAGTTGACTTAAAGGAGGGTGGGTTTTTTTACTAGGGAGAGGACATTAAGAATTTATATATCAATCTACATAACTTATATAAGTATTATATATATATATATATATATAGGAAGATAAGGGGTGTGTGTGTGTGAATTGGTTGAATTAATAATTGTGTTGTTCTTACCTTCTTCTGGTGGCAAATCGTCATCTTCGTCGCTGCCCTCGGTGGCGGCCGAAGACTGTTTCGACAAACCGGTCCTCCATTCATTTGGCTTAAGTTGGGTCGTTAACAATGAAGGAGAATCCTGAGTTTTGTTTTGCAATTTGTTGAAATATTCGGCGGCATATTGAACAAGGTTTGGTGGCCTTTCACGTAGAACAGCCACCGTAAAACCTTGTAAAAGTTCCGTTAATCCAGGCGGGATATCGAAGCTCATGGCTTCTTCTTTTCTCTTTTTTTTTTTTTTAAGGGAGGGGGCTTTTTTTTTCTTTTTTTAATTCAGTTTTTCTTTCTATCTTTCGTTCTCTTTTCTTTTCTTTCTTTTTTTCTTATTAAAGAAAAAGAAAAGAAAAAGAAATCACGCGAGGATTTCAAAATTTAAATAAATAAATTAAAAAAAATTTAAAACTATAAGATAAATGTTCAATTTTTTTTTTAAACTTAAAAAAGGTGTTTAACGAAATTTCAGAGTTAAAAATAAAAAAAAAAGAGATTTTTATTTTTGGAGATGAGACTTTTTTTTTTTTTGAGAAGAATTAAGATTTTAAATCCCTTTTTATATTTGTGATTTTTGCTTATTTTTTTTTGAAGAAGTAAATATATCTACCTTATAATAAAAAATAAATATATATTCTTTTTTTGCATTGTCTAAATAAATAAATATTTTAATGAAGAATGTGTGTGTGTGTGTGCGTTTCTATGATTTTTTTTTTTTTTTTTTAAGTTTCTTTTCGGACCGGTTTTAAATAATTCAACTTCAACACATGACACAGGTGTGTTTTTAAATATTTTCTTCTTTCTTTTAAATAATAATAAATACTAACATCAAACAGATTTTAAGGTTGAGAAAATTGATTAATTTAAATAATTTTTAAACTTTTAAAAAAAAAAAAAAAAAACTCGTAAAAGAAAGCAGAAAAAATAAAATCGTTTCCTTGCAGTTTGGCTTTCGTAACCCAAAATGAAAAATAAACACTTTTTTTTTTTTTTAATAAATAAAATAAAAATTGAAATATTTCACGATAAAGGGAGTTTTATTTTTGTTGTTAAATAATAATAATAAAAACCCTGAACTGTTTTGATATTTTTCTTCTTAAATCAAGGACATTTGGTTTGGTTATATTTAAAAATAATTTTAAAATAACAAACCGAATGAAAGAAGAAAAAAAACAAAAAAGAAACTTGAAATTTGTCACAATGAAGTCGCGATTTGAAGTTTTCAGTCTTTCTTTTTTGGGGCTTTTTTTTTCCAAATTTATCCAGAGAAAAAAGTGAATATAGAAAACAAACAGAAATGAAATGTATATCTATATATTAAAAAAGCCGTGTTGATCTTTCTTTGGTATTATTTTCCTTTTTTCTTTTTCTTGATTTTTCTTTTAAATCCGAATTTGTCTTCTTTTTTATGTGAAACAATTCCAGAAAGAAGGAGACGACAAAAATAAATTTGAAAAAGGTTTGGAACTTTAGAAATAAATATAAATAATTTTCATCTCTTCCCCCCTTTTTTTTTGTTTCCTGGTTTAAAAAAAAAGAAAAACAAGAAGATTAATGTTGTTGTTGTTGTTGTTGTTGTAGTGTATAACTTTTTTTTTTTTGTTGTTGTTTTTAAAGGTGCGAAGTCGTCAGCATTGACAACGACGACAACGTTTCGAAACTGAAGCTGATATGCAAATTCCTAATAATAAATAATGTCGATGTTATTATTACTGTGTGAAGCTCCCACCATCAGGGCGATGAAAATAATAACAATATTGAAGAAGAAGAAGACACCTCCATCCATCTAAACAGCATCGCCCCACGCTTCATGAGAATCAGTTTTGATGGGAGAGAGAGAGAAGGAGGGAGGGAAGAAGGATGATGATGATGATCGGGGGTTGGTGATGCAAATCCGTAGAGAGAAGGAGAAAGAAGAAGAAGAGATGGTGGAGGAGGAGCACACCACCTGACACAGGCGACCATGCACTGGGTTGTGTTTTTGGTCTTTGCTTCACCTTGCAGCCATGCAACCAGCACCACCAACGACAAGAGAAGGAAAGAAGCAATCGACGACGAGAAAGAAGAGGAAGAAGAAATGTATTACTCCGCGTCAATTACAACTACTTGTACGACCCAACAACAACAACCAAAATACACACAGACACAGCTGAACAAAAACAGAGAGGAAAGAAAAGAGAGTGAGAGAGATTGAGGGGGGGGGGGTTGGTCGGACAAGAAGACTGTGTTGCGTCAACCTGACTAATTGTGTGTGTGTGGAGGGGTTCGATGAAAGAGACTTGTCCAGCTGACTTTGAGAATCAAACACCTTTATTATTCAAAAACCTATTTTTTTTTTAACCTGGGCTCGAACACCGTCCCCTACTGCTGGTATGTAACTATCTCAGTCAGCCGCACTACACACACGCACACACTTGAGCATACTTCGATAGAGAGGAAAGGCGGGTAAGGGGGAGGGGGCGTTAGGATTGTGTTGCGTCAATGTTACTAGGGAAAGGTCGATGCAAAAACAAAAAAGATTTCGAAATTTTTTTTTTTTTTGTTACCTGTTTTCGAACACCGACCTCTACATCGACCAGAAATTTAGCAACTCTCTTCTTACGGACCTGTGAAACCACAAAGACACACATAGCACCAAGCCAAACATGGAAAGACGGGAATGAATGAGGAGTTGGAAGAGTGCATTGCGCCAATCTTCCCGCAGGGGAGAGGAGGAACTTTTTTGTATGTTGTCTTCCTTTTCTTTTTTTTTTTTTTTTTTTTGCATATTAAAAAAATAGCATTCGAAATTTTGAACTCAGGTTTTGTTTTTAGCAACAATCGCCGGTGCAAATGAGTTTCATTTCATAACTGGTGCCGTTTTAAACGTGGCCCTGTGCCAGACTAATTGAAGCTGAATAAATATCAAGGCGCCTTCTATAGAGCGATGACCACTAAGCTTTTTTCGTAGACATGTCCACGATTTATTTAATTTTTTTTTTGGGGGGGGGGATGGGGACTCCACTATTTTGGCCTTGTGCCAGTGAGTTAGGCTTTTACATAGACCATCATTACATATACATCTTTGTGCACTGGCACGCAGACATACACACATACACACGCACAACTGACTGCACATGTAAGCATCTGTTCATCAAATGCACGTAAATGTACTCAGTATGTACATAAATATACAATACACATTCATACTATTCACTTGTACATACACACACAGGCACACACGCACACAGAGACACACACACACACAGAGACACACACACACGCGCACACATGTATATACACACGTATACTTTCCCTCCCTACAATCTGAATTCAGTGTCTGCCATATAACATTGTTTATTATTAAGCTATCTAGCTAGTTAGTGTTTATTAATTGTGCAGTGAATTCACTTCTTACTAAGCACTCCAATATGATATCCCTGTGCCAGACTAAATCTCTATTATTACTAAATTTAAAAAAAAAGCTCATTATTGTATAATTACAGGCTACTGCAACGTGTTCGGGCTCTCGCTATTATAGCCTTGTGCCTGACTAAGGAAATATTTATTATTACGGTGCCTGGCCTAAACCCTATGGTTCAGCTCACCATGCAGACAATTCGCTCGTTGTGTAGTGAATTCGAACCTTACTAAGTGCTCTCCTGGTATGAACTTGTGCCAGGCTAAGATAAAAAAAAAAGTATTCTAACAGAAACATGTCCATTTATTCTCTCCACCTACAGGTCAGACATCACATATTCCGAGAAAAATCTTTTTTATATTATAAAATCTGTCTTTCTATTTAATTTCAAATTAGCAGCGCACACACACACACACACACACACACACACACACACACACACACACACACACACACATATGTATATATATATTTCTCGCTCTACTTTCGTCATTTTCATAATATATATTTTCTCGCTCTCGTTATATATATATATATATATATATATATATATATATATATGTGCTTAAGCACAAATTAAGTTGGATATGTAAAAAAAAAGTAAAACATGCGTGTGTTGGCGTCCTCTCTAAAAGGAATAGACAAAAATTGCGTAGAAGGTGAAAATCATTTACCGAGTCCTTCAGTGAATTGGCCTTATGCCAGACTACTTTTAGGCTTAGTATCCATAAGTGCACACATATTTACAAACACAAAAGTCCACACAAAGTCGACTCAAAATCTATTGCTACCGAGTTCGATCTTCAATAGGCACCCCACTCTTGAGTCCTTGTGTCAAACTAAGCTAAACTCGAATTTTATTAAATCTACATAGAAATATGTAAACGTCGTATATAGTCAGTGGCTTTTATCAGCAATTTTGTTCAGATTGAGTTTGGCACAAGGCTACATTGATGGAGCACCAATAAAGAAATTTTCTCACTCAATAACGTAGTAGAAGAGATCGACTAGCTATGAAATTATTCTGTATTCTATGGAAACATAAAAAGCTAGAGTGAGTTCGATCCCCACTGGCTGCTCCAAATTCCTATAACGTCTAGCCTTGTGCCAGACTAAGGAATATTTCGTAAATAAGGTAGATGCTTACATTCATGCTTACATTTCAGGATGATGTTATTATGTTCATAAGATTAAGGTTAGATTTTATTTTTTAGTCTGACACAAGGTTAATAGAGCACCGTGTACTGTAGGGATAGTTTCTTTTTAAATTTTAGTTTATTACAAATAAATTATATGTCTAGTCTAGAGACATATACAATAGAGATTCTCGAATTTTTCTAAACTTGGTTAAGTCTGGCATAAGGCTACCACTCAGTGAGGATCGAAATTATTTAGCATGCGAGAGATGAGAGCTTTCGATGCTCTACGGCAGGCGCCTACTGTGATACAAGCAAGGTTGCTAAAAAGGATCGATAACAGAAAAAAAGATTTTTCTCGCTCTACACTCGTCATTATTCAGCTAGTTCTAGTCTGGCACAAGGCTGCAGTACGAGAGCGCCTAGTAAAC